TGTTTTAAATCTACATATAAATTCAGTCTTTAAAACAGATAATGTTATTTTGCAAAGCTCAAATGTAGAGATTAAGATCATTATGATGCCAGAATTGGCTAAGATTCAGTTGTAAGGAAGATGAGAGATTATTTCAGATACACAACAAATGCACACACATGCACACACTCCAGTCCCACAAAGCAACACACAGTATCATCCAGAACAAATAACATGCATACTTTAAAAGGCCTACTGAGCCTCTGAAGCTGACAACAGACAGGTATGTGGAATTATGTGGAAGATAAACAGAGAAACCACAATTCTCACACTCTATGCAGAGGATTAAATCTACATTTAAATTGGGTTTTTAAATCAGATACTAAGTTTTGCATTTATTAAAAGTTTAAATGTTGTTTTTCAAAGCTCTAATGTAGACATCAAGATCCTTATGAAGCAAAAAGTGGCTATGATTCAGTTGTTGAAGTCAGTTTCAGAATGGTTTTATGAACATGAACTGTTTGAAAAAACAGAACAAAGAAATGGTGATAGAACTGGTGAGGATGGGGGGGGGGGTACTGCCAACACATATTAATCAAAAGAACATTTTGATGTTGATTAGATATCATTATTTTGCCAGCTAATGACAATTTCTCTTTTTAATGAGTTGTTATGCACTTTGTTTGTGCGTGAATAGCCTTTTTATGCTTTCTCATATAGTTAATTTGCCACTTTTGAATATTAAATACCTTTAAGACTCCAAACGCCCCTCTGTAAAGCTTCTTAGGGTTGTGGACTTGACCTCTCAATCAACAGTTGGGTCTTTTTGCTAAAAACACTATGGGCTGCTAGTCCTGATCCTCAGAGACTAAATTAGCTCTTCAAAAAGTCAGCTGTGCCACACTTGTTGGATCTTAACACGACCCCACCCACACTGACAAAATGAAGCTCTTTACTCATTCAATTACAACAAAACTGTCCTGAGAGACACCTTGTTCAAAAACATGTCTCAAGAGGTTTCCTGTGTTTGAGTTAGAGGTAGAATAAATTGATATAAGGCAGATTATCACACACATATGCAAAATAATGTCACTTGACTGTACAAGATATTAAAATGTGTCACGATTTATTGGAAACAAATGAAATTTTGGCACCTTATTTGAAGACGTTTAACCCCTTGTTCACAAAGGTCTTAATGGTACAGGTGGAAATACTGCGGGGTATGCAAAGACAAAACAACCACAAAGCATACTGTAGTGGAGCTGTGAAATTCACACCACCACTCAGTCAGTCGGGTTTAATAAAGTCTGGTGAACAGATGAACGGGTGAATATCAGCATCACAAAGTTACAACAATCATATATTTATACATACACAATCCCTGGGATAGCTTTTATGAAACAAGTTAGAAATCGGCACCAAATAGTCCAGAAACAACTTCCATCTGCTGTGGAGTGGCTCTTACTTCCAGGAGCCAGACTTGCCCTTGGCCCCACGGGAGGTCTTGGACGCTTTGGAGCCCCTCTGGTGGTCGCTGACTCGGTTCCGGAGCACGTAGATGTCGTACTTCTGCCTCTTGAGCTTCTCGGCCAGCTCGAACTTCTCGGCGTGCAGCTGGTGGAGCCACTGCCAGAGGTCCTGCGCCTTCTCTGCCAGCTTCTCCTGGTTCAGATGGTCGATGTTGAGCGGCTTCCGGCGCTCCAGCAGGGCCTTCTTCTTCTCCTCTCTCGCTGTCAGCTTCTTGCCCTTCTTCTGGTCCACCTTCTGCAGGTAGCCGCCGAAGGACTTGTTGGTGAATATCGCCTTCTTCTTCGCATCCTCCTCAGCGCGCAGTTTGGCTGCCTCTTCCTCGCGCCTCGCCCTCTCCTCAGCCAGGCGCGTTTGACGTTCCCGATCCTGCTCGGTGCGTACGCGCTGCTGTTCTGCCCTGTCGGACCGGCGGCGCTCAATGCGGTTACGCAGGGCGACCAGCTCTTCCTCCTCTTTCTGGCGGGTGGAGAAGTGCGACTCGATCAGGGTCTGGAGATCGTTGAAGTCCTTTTCGACCCTCTTGCGGTGCAGGTCATCAAAGTCCACCTTCTCGCCATCAGGGAGCTTTGGAGGGGCAATATTTGGCACATAAGTGGTCTTGTGCCGGGGTTTGGACTCCTCCTCATGCTCATTCTCCTCTGCGTGCTCTTCTTCTTTCTTCTCTGCTTCATCGTCACACTGTTCCTCTTCCTCTTCTTCAACTTCTTCTTCCTCCTCATTCACCTCCTCCTCCTCTTCCTCCTGCTCATACTCCTCCACAATTTCCTCAGTGTCTGACATGATGGTTACCTCGCAGGCTTTCTGGGTAAGAGAAAGCAGGATGAACACCAAGACCAGCTGGTGTCTCGCACACAAGAGTTGACCGGGGGTCTTGGGCATGCAGCTCGGGGGTTTTTAAGGGTTCAGTCTCTACCATGTGACCGCTGGCTGAGCAAAGTCTCCAGAGTGTAGGTCAGCAGCAGGGCGGATTTTGAGACAGATGGAATAGTCTATTTTCTCCTCACCAAGTCTTGTCAGCCACATAGGCCCCCACTTATCCCCGATAGAGCCCCCTCCCGCTCTCTACTCTGACCCTGCAGCCCTCCTCATTCCTTTGTAAGGACAAGATGAGAGACTATTTCAGATACACAACAGATGCACACACATGCTTGTGTTTTCCAGTCCCACAAAGCAACACACAGTATCATCAAGGAGACATAATATCTGTACTTTTAAAGAGCTACAAGAGCTCACAAGAGTCAGAGACCTGGAAGCAGAAATATGGAGGGTAAAAAGAGAAATTTAGGAAACTAGCTAATCCGTGGTGATAGTAACAGCCACTGGGGCAAGCATGTCGGTGTTTAGGAACTTCCATTAACAAAGCACATTCCAATCTCTTAAAGCCGGTGAGGATTTTAATGACAGGAAGTTACAGCTGTCACATTTTCCTCTAGCATTACCACACTGAGATGTTATTTCTGTGTTAGAAAACTACGCTCTTAGTCTCTGCAAATAAACGGATGATTATAAGCTAATTTCTCATCCGTCTGTCTTATTTCATTGTGTTTATCTGCCTTTATATCTGCACTAAAGCACTTTAAGTAAACATGTAAAGTTATTATCAGGGGATGGAGTGTGGGGGCGGCTTCTGGGGCTGCAGCCCTGAGATGTTTTCTCAAAAGCCACAAATCTTTAAAGCTTTTAAAATAACATCAATTTTGTGTCATTTCCCCTCTGTGTATCTCTGGCTGGAAAATCAATGAAGCAAAAGTTGTATTACTGTTATACAGTATGTGGAACTCCAACATAGTTCAACAAAAATAGCTCTCAAGATGAGTAATGATGTTTACAACAAATTCCTACTATGTTATGTAACTTAAAAATAATCACATCAGACAATTTTGGCTCTTTTTAGGTGGTGGGAGTAAACATGAGTCATCCTGAACATTTGTTGTGTTCTGGTTTCAGAATAGGATAGAACAAAATAGGATGCAGGCTTAACAGGAGGATTTCGTGAATCATATCGCAATCATAATATCTGTCAAAACAATTGCAATATAATGTTTCTACCATATCGTGCAGCCCCCTCAGCATTATATTATCTCAGACGGCTTAAAGAATAGTGCATATAGCTGCCTTCTGGACCCTGCTAGGTTTGGGCTAAGCCCTGAATGTTTACAGCGTCTGGCTCTGCTATAACGGTCACTCAGTGCATTTTAAATAAAGCCTAATGTTATTTGTACACTATCAGTTATTTCTTTAAAGAAAGCCAACACTAACCACCACAAAAAGACCTCCGGTAAGAACGACAACGCGTGAGATGGGCTTTACTGCTGCGGCCTCGTCTCCACTTTGGAATGTAATTAAAACATTCTTGCTATTGGAGGCTTTCTGCTTTCAGCGCTGAGTGGATTAAAGTGCAATTGCCCCCACGCGGCAACATTTAAATGCTGATGTCAAGAATTTATGTTCCCAAGTGGAAAAGGACGAACACAGTTCTTAGAGGATGAGATAACTGATGGGGAGAGACAGGTGCTCCGCTGTGTCTGAGAATCACAATTAAACTGCTCCATTCGCCTCTTTAGGATAAAGCTGCTGCCGTTATTCTGCTCTACGTGTGTGTGTGTGGCAGATAACACATTATCTCCTGTAGGTTAGATTTTGGTAATATAAATCTTCTGGAGCTCCAACTGAGTGAAGATAGGCTAACTGTCGCCTTAGAGGACCCAAAAACAAATCTTAATGCCTATGAGAAAGTCCCATGGCTTGTCTCACTAAAACATGCCTGTGCACAACATGAGGACAGCAGGTGGCTCCAGTATAATCAAGGCACTCTGGGTTGCTGGTGGCAAGGGACAACTGTGTCCATCAGCACAGAAAGGCAACAAATGACGTCTATTAATAGAGACACACTCTGCTGTTTAACACAGCTCATAATGAAAGAACAGAGTGATATAGCACAATTCATGTATGTCTAAAGTCAATGAAACTGCCATCAAATTGGGAAAAAACAGGAAGAAGACAGAAAGAAGTTCTTAAAGAGGTTAACATCCTGCTAGAAATTAACCTACATCCAGAATAAAGGTATAATAAAGTGAAGTTGAAACTTTTCTTATTTCAGAAAAGTCTGTGCAGTTCATTGAAATAAGCAGTTACTTACCGGTTGCACAGTGACCTTGTGTGGTGAAAACGGTGCAGTGCAGTTAAATGTGTCCTACAGTATTCCTCCTCTCCAGTTGAAGTTAAAAGGTCTCCTTGCAGTAAATACTGTCTGTCACTAATGCTGCCAGGTGGAGGACAGGAATTGTCCATGCCGATAAAGACAATCGATTTATAATTTATCCCAAAAATCAACACTGTTTATTATTAATATTCTGTTTTGTTATGGATACTGTCAAAGGCTTATGAGCTCACACAACTGACTGTGTTTGAATGATTTGTTGAAAGAATATATCTCACTGCATACACTAAAGATACAAATAAAAAGGACGGAAAAAATCATATTTACTCACTCATCATAACACAGGCTTGCAGCGAGGAGTGAATCTCGTCCTCTTTTTACAGTTACCAGCGCACTACCAAAAGAAAGACATTCATTTAGGAAGTTGAGCTAATTGACTGTACTGACTTTTATTGAGAAATTCTAATAATAATAATAATAATAATAATAATAATAATAATAATGACAAAATCAACATGTTTTGTGATCAGAGTATTGAAGTTCTAACTCTTCTCACACAAACTGGGCTCGAACATTTGGTGAAAGTTAACAAAATACTACAGAATTGTTTTTATACATTAAATAAGAAAATATTTAGTGTTTTATATATTATGTGCTCTATGCAGGGGGAAACATAAACTCACATACCAGTTAATTAGGTACACCACTGTTTCAGAGAGGCGTTAGTCACTGGTTGATATTGATCATTTGGAGGGTGCAGTGCTGTTGAATTGTATTGCGTTATGCTGACAGCTGTTTCTATTATTTTCTCCTTCCCATTTATAAGAATGAGGGTATAATGGTCCGCCCGTTACACAGAGAGGTGTTTTTGGTGTTTCTGGTGTCAAAAGCAGTCAAATTTAACACATTAATTTAGATTAATTTTAAGATTACGAGTTGAAAAACTAAAATATTATTTAATTATCTGTTATGGTCACATTTTAGACTAAGTGATAGTCTTAAATTCAATAAAAAAAGACATGTATGACATGAAAAATGTCTAGAAATAAAACAACATACTGATTTCTAATAGATATTTTTTTTCTAGATATTTTTAATCTATGCTTTACTAATAATGTAAATATCTTCATTTGGCACTTTTTCCAAGCAGATATCAATACATGAGATTGTTTGAGAGCCTTGGCCCTGTGTTCCCTTTATGTTGCAAGCTGCCTGAAGCTGAGATGCAATTAAGTTAAGTGGAAAAACCTGGCCAGTGTGTGCCAGTCACTTAACCATCCACCAAATTAAATCAGCATTATTCCTGCCCCCTTTAAAGTCTCCATGCCGCGCCATGGACATTTCTCTGTTCTGTATAATGCAACACAATGCAACAGCAACACAGACTGCAGCCTCCAAAATACAGCTGAATGGAAACAGTTTCAGTAAAAGTTGAACATTATAACAGATAAATTAATCTGTTAGCGCTCAGAGGTGGATGGTGCAAGCCTGAAAGCAAAAAAAAAAAACATAAAGGCGAAAAGTAATTTTGTGGAGAGATGGCGTCTGAAAGAAGAAGCAGGAGAAAATAAAGCTCTAACACTGTTATTTAGTGTTGGTTAAATAATGCATGATGCGGTTTTTCCCGCCACTGGCACAGATTAATGGTCGACGCTGGTTCAAGGCTGCATCCTGATTTCTGTGACATACGTTTAAATATGTAAAAACACAGATTGTTATGGTATATGACAACTAACCTTACGTTTTTATGTTTGATAAATACTCCTGTAATGACTTTGATTAAAAATATACACTTACATGAGATGCAGTTGCAGGCTTTTGGTAAGAACTGCTCCCCTCCACCTACTAACTGACACTGATCTAATCAATAACAGTGCTCACCTGTAATCAATACACACAAAGAAAAGCAAAACTCCCCCTAGTGGTTGAATCAGACAGTACATATATATGGCTCCTGAAGCACCTAAAAAATCTGGTATCTGGCATCATTGCTGTCCTCTCTACACTGTAATCTCCACAATGTAATCCCATATAATGAACATATAATATTAAATATTATTATAGTTATAAAATGTAGTCAGTAATAACCTAATCCAAGTATCACAGCATTAATGTAACTGTATTACTTCCCATTACTTTTGGATTACCTCAACACCAAATATCAATAAATTGACTTTTAAATATTCTTTAAAACAACAGATAAATGTAATGGAATTAAATATCTGTAATGTAATCTGTTACTCTCCAAGCCTGCAAAGGACTACGGGAGGCTTAGCATAGCATTCAAAACTCTGTATGTAGCCTTTATCTTTAGAGTACAGATATCCCCTCATTAAAGGACATATTTTATGGATATTTCATATTACATTAAATGCATCAATTACATTACAGAACTAATAAATTGTACAATTAACCCCAAAAGTGAACAACCTCCTTTCCAAAATTCAATTTAAATAAGTTTTTCAGTGACTACAGCAAGCAGAGGAATTTGATTATCACCTCAGAAACTGGTCAAGTATTTCACACCTCAGGAGATCAAACAGTTTATTGATTGACATAATTTACCTCTGTTAAGAGTTTGAACTGACCCGGTGCTCACCCTGTTTTTATCGGTATAATCACAGAGCTGGTGTCTGACACTCAGGGAGAAAACAGATACGAGAACTACAAAGTAAAGAAAACAAAAGTAATGAGGTCAGCGAGTCAGTAATTATCAGTACGCCTGAAACAAACTTACCACAAACAGTTCTCACATTTGTGATGAGTGCTTTTATTGAACACGTTGGTACACAAAGCTTGTTTTTATCTAAATGGATCCATACATTAGACTTTTCCACAGGCAACAGCTTTCAACCGCCTCTTCTCTCCAGTCCTACTCTCGAATATTTTACATAAAAACACGCATTATAGTGTGATTTAAAAAAGCAAATCGTAAGAAAAACTAGTTTAGTTTCTATTCACAACAATAAATGGGTGGATAGATGAAGAAGTGTGAGCTAAAAGGCTGTAGTGGCACACATAATAACTATAAACATAAGGTGAGAGTAACAGATATGACGGTGATATACTTTATGTACCCAGTATTAACAGTACGACTGCGTTAATCTACTCAGGCTTCATACTTCTTCCCCGCTCGGTGGATCTGCTGGTAAAGCGTCATAGAGAAAGCCATACCAAGGAGCTGGAAAACGAACAAAAAAGGGGTTAAAAACAAATAAAAGAGTGCTGTTTGAGTTCGCATACATGCTACACCAAGAGCTGCTCACCTGTATGACCAACACACACATGGCAATGGTTCCCAGAAGGTGTTTGTTGTCATCCAGCCACTCCTCTACCTTCTCATAACAGCCCTGAAAACACACACCCACAGGAATTAGGAGGGGGGAAAGAACAGTACTCAGACTCTGCAACTCTTGCTTTTTAACGTAAGGAACATAAACACAGGTTCTATGTCAAATCGTAATTAAATGAAGAGGTTTTATAATTACAACAAAAAATGCTGCTTTGTTATTTTTATATAAACCGTTATATTACCATTGTTGTGTTTTAACCACCATTTTTCCCCCATCATTTTCATAAGTAGCATTAAATGCGTAATGCTCTCATACAGCAGACTGAAGGGAAGCTGCCGGACCCTCTAACTTTAGGCTACTCTGTCTGTCCGCCTGCCATTTCCAAGCCTGACTGACAGCTGCCCTCTACACTTCATCTGCACCAACTCACTTTTCACACTCTCTTCCAAAGCGCGTTGTTTTCAGTAAGAATCATCCACGCAAAAAAAGAGTGCACTGTATGGCTGTATACAGTCATATGGATTAAAGGAAGCTTTGATGTAAAGAATATACATTGATGGATTTTAGTAATCAAGTTACAACTACTTTTTGAGGTATTGTTTCAGTTATTTTGTGTATCACGGCCAACATTTTGCTGTTTCCGTCAAGCACTTTGTAAACTATGTTTTTAGAAAGGTGAGTTGAGTGTGTATACAGTTTGACCTTTTGGGGAATTTGCTTATTGGCCTTTCTTGCCAAAATTGATTCTCTTCTCGACTGTGGTATCGATCTTCTCATTAAACTCCTTTAGGCTTTATGACCACGCAGACGCACACTGACCCGTGTCCAGAAGGTATTGGAGGAGTTGCGTCCACAGCCCTGGTAAAACTGCTGGCAGCAGCGGTCAGGAACCACGTTTTCATGCAGGGCAGCGTACCAGTCGTTGTGGTTTGTCACTCCACAACATCGCCACTGGTGCACAGATGGGAGGGATTTATTCAATAAAAAAACATAAAGTTGGATAAAAACAAGAGTTCATACACTTAAAAAACTAAAAGAAATGCCAAGAAATAACTAAAGTATAATAAAAAAACAGGTAGGGAACTTATTTTCTTAGGAGCAACATATTATTATCTGTCTGTCTGTCTGTC